TTTATTTAAAGCCTCTTAATGAGCTCTGGTAGCCGGAGAAAACATTAAGTAATGAAAACACCATTTGAAATGAAGTCTTTTGATGGCATCTTTTAGCTGATTGTCAACAATATTTGACTAGACCCGGCATTTTAGTTTGCTTCTCAATTTGAGGCAGTAATGTATTTTTCCTTCATACCTGTCCACCCCCTAGTAGAAAACAGTGAGCATGTTCCCAAAAATAGCTCTGGCATTATATTTTATGTCATTTGACTTGATAGCATATGCATCCACTGGGTGATTTTTCTCTTCTGTCCTTTCAAAAAACAAAAAAACAAAACCAAAAACGGGTATGTTAGGATTGTGTTCATTCTTTAAAGCTGTCATCCCTATCCAATGAAAGAAGGCCTAGTGCTGTTTAATGAGTAATAGCTCACTTTTTGTACTCCTTGAGACAGTCCTTTTAAAGCATTTTGCCTTCCATAATATACTGCTGGAGAATTCCTGCCATGAAATTTCTAATATTTTGGAAGATATTTTAACATACTTACTCAAGATCAAGCTATAGAGGGGGTCAGCCCAATGTATATAATTGCTTGAGAGAAAACAGCTGGTTGCCTTTCTGAAAGCCAGTGAGCACAACATTCAAAGTTGATAGTAGGGTAGGAGTTCCTAAGACCCATAAAAATAGTCCTGGGACCTATATATGGCCCATAAGCTACTCTTTGTTACCTGTATTCTTGAACAAGGGCAAAGAATCTCATTCAGCTCAAGAATTGAAAAGAATTTTGAAGACATACTCAACAAGCACAAAAGATGAGAGGAACCCTAAATGGTTCTGGCCCAGCTTATCTATCCGAATGTATTTCCCCTTATGAACCCGCCAGGAATTTAAGATAATCTGGGGAGGCCCTCCTCTCGATCCCGCCTGCCTTGCAGGCAAGTTTGGCAGGGACGAGAGACAGGGCCTTCTCAGTGGTGGCCCCAATGCTGTGGAACTCCCTTTCCAGGGATATTAGATTGCCCCCCTTCCTCCTGACCTTTCGGAAAAGAGTGAAAACCTGGCTCTTTGAGCAAGCTTTTGGAACCTCGGTGTAACCAGACAAACACAGCATCATGAAATAACAAACACGGAACGGTCTAAATGATATAAACAGATACGGAGTTGAACTGGAAAACATTAGTTATTACAGTTTTAATTGATTTTATATGGTTTTTATTATGTGTTTTAACTGTTTTTAATTGGTGTATGTATGGTGTGACATCTAATTGGTGCCAGTTTGTACGCCACCCTGAGTCGCCTTCGGGCTGAGAAGGGCGGGATAGAAGTGCTGTAAATACATCTATATAAATAAAAATTTAATGTTCGTTTGTGGGATTAACATAACTCAAAAACTACTGGATAAATTGCTGGCAAATTTGGCCACAAGATACCTACTAACCCAAGGAGTGACCATCACTAAAAAAAAAAAAGATTTTGTCATTTGGGAGTTGTACTTGCTGGAATGTATAGTTTACTTACAATCAAAGAGCATTCTGAACTCCACCAGTGATGGAATTGAACCAAACTTGACACACAGGACTCCCATGACCAAGAGAAAGCACTATACGGGTTTGGTGGGCATTGACCTTGAGTTTGGGAGTTGTAGTTCACCTACATCCAGAAAGCACTGTGGACTCAAACAAAGATGGATCTGGACCAAACTTGGCATGAATATTCCATATGCCCAGATATGAACACAGATGGAGTTTGGGGAATATAGACCTTGACATTTGGGAGTTGTAGTTACTGGGCTTTATAGTTCACTTACAATCAAAGAGCATGGTGAACCTCACCAAAAATGGAATTGGAGCAAACTTCCCACACAAAACCCCCATACTTAAGGCCATAGTCCAACTCCCTTCACCAGAGCAAGAAAACACAATAAAAGCCCTCCTGACAAAGAGCCATCCAGCCATAGATATAGACAGATGTATATGATTCACACACACATAGATATAGTATCATAGATTTGAAAGGGACTCCTAAAGAAGGACAATTATATGTTGTATGTCCCAAAGTGAGCAAACCAGACAATCTCCACATCAACACTGACAAAGAAACAGCAAGAAATACTGTTTACCCGCAAGCATAAAGAAATTACATATATTAGAAACCAACACTTTCTAATTACTTTATTTTCCAGATCACCTGACTGGGCCACAGCAATGCGTGGCAGGGGACTGCTAGTAATAAATAAATAAATAAACAAGAGGGTCAGATCAAAAATTACAGCACATTTTCCCTCTACACTCTTATTATCTGAAATTAAACCTTAGGAAAAGCACTTCAGGTTTTCTAAATTGTAGGAGGGGTGTTTGCTCAGGTTTAAATATACAGCAGTTTCTTTACATTGCACTTTAAAAACTTTTAAGGTGGTCCTGGGCCCGTAACTGCAGAAAATGTGGAGAACTGTCTGTACTACCAAACAGAAATATTTGAGTCTAAATGCAGTAAAATCAACTTTATTCTAGGTTGATTGAAAGTGCAAAGAACCAGGGAGAAGCAAATGAGGCATCCCAAAACATAATGTCGTGTCTGAGAGAAACATCTGCCACATTTTTCCTATGATGGAAAGGGAGACAGGTGTCAAATGTTTAGGAGGAGTACTATTTATTTCTAAGTATGCGAAAAAGGCACAACAAATTTTAATATGAATTTTCATTTCATTTTCAAAGTGAGGTCTAGTTCTTTTCATTGCAACTAGAAATAAGATATATTTTTATCATTCAAAGTAATGATTAAATGGGATTATTGTGCTTGGAGTAGGCCCATAGAAATCTTGTTCAACTCATGCCGTCTAATATGGATTTAATATGTTAAATGTGTGGAATGTATTATGTCTTGTTTATTTAAGTTGTTTTTTTGATTTGTTATATCTTATCCTCAGCACTGAATGTTTGCCACTGTGTTTTATTTTGTTGTAAGCCACCCTGAGTCCCCTTGGGGAGATAGGCTGGGTTATAAATAAAGCATTATCCTCCTCTTTCTTATTATTTGAAACACAACAAGATCAGTACACAGCAAACAAGATCACTGTGCTGATTGATGTACTGGATCACACGTCGGACACTTCCCAAGTGTCTAGGACTATGTGATGTGTCAGCAAATAATGCGTGCAGATCCCAGTAAGGTGGCTTTCTGCAGCTGGCAGATGGTAATTTTGTCAGCGCCTGATTGTGTTTAAGTGCAAGCCAAGGTCTTTAAGCACTGCACCCAGTGTGCCGATCACCACTGGAACCACCGTTACTGGCTTGTGCCAGAGTCTTTGCAGTTCAATCTTTAAATCATCATATCATGTCAGCTTTTCCAGTTGTTTATTATGTTCATTATTATTCACAGTATGCAGGGCCGTAGCCAGAAAATTTGGGGGGGGGGGGTCAAACTTTTTTAGCAAATCATGAAGAGTAGTTTGATAACACAACAACAACATTTTTAATACAGTCCAAAGACCCTTATTGCTCCGTAAAAGGTATAAGATACAAGTTATGCAAGGTTAGTAAGGCCAAAAATAGCCAAAAAAGTTGTTTTTTTTAACCTGAAAAAAATTGGGGGGGGGGGTGGTGGTGGTGCTGAAACCCTAAAATTCCCCCCCAGCTACAGGCCTGACAATATGACACAGCAAACGAGATATATATTCTGGATTTCGTATCACAAAAATCACAAGTCAACACACTTATTATTATGTTTATTATTATTATTATTATCATGTGACATAACAAAATCTGCTTTGCATTCATGGGTAATTAATCATATCAAGATAATTTAGTATACTGAAAAAGGTTTGAAAATGAAGTGTCTTCTTCTTTTAAAAATAAATCTCTCACATTAATGCAGCTTTGCTGCTTGAATATTTCAGTATGTTATCTAAATTTGCTAGATGTCATAGTTTGCCTTTTTTTGCTGCACTGTTGTTTCCCCGGTGGGCATTGGATTTATGTTATGGTTTGTCTAATCCTATATGACAATTCTAATGCTTTGTAGGTTGTTCTTTTTTATTCTTTTGTACATCCTGAATTGGGAACTGAAAAAAGGACTGTGTATAAAAAACAGAACTTAACAGCCATTGGTCGCAATTGATGAAGACAATGTGTTGTTTTAGACCAGGAAAATATTTGATATTTGTGACCTTTTATTGCATTTTTGTGACTCGAATTTGAGCTTTAATTAGTCTGAAACCGAATTTAAATTTCATCTCAAAGAATATAGGTCCTCAAGTCTCCATTTGCCAAGATAATAAATTGATTAGATGGAAACAGCACCATTATGTTTTCTGTTGAGAGGAAATGCTGTTAAATTTTGTCTTGGATTTAGATGTCTGTTTTTAGTTTTCACATTTTAATAAAATAAATGTACAGTTCAGATAATTATACCTATTGCTTATTATTAAGGAAAATGTAAAGAGGCTCAATGGTGGAGAAACTCGAAATGTCTAGAGCCAACTGACATTTTCATGTGACAAATGATGTGTTAATGTGGATCAGGTTTTAAGACCACTAATGGATCTTCTTCAAAATATTCTACCTCTCCTTTTCCCTACCTGTTTGAGGACTTGCTTCCTGCCCTTCAGGTTTTGGAAGCAGGTCCTGCCACAGCCTGTTTGCTTGAGTGCTTCAGAAAAGCACAGATGTCATGCCGTGACGTGCTTGACAAAGCAGATTTGGGCAGATGTCTCAGCATCTCAGGAACTCTTTCACCTTCTCGGGCTCTGGAGATTTGCCCAAATTGGTGGTCGTAAGTCAGTTCTCCATCTATAGGTCAAAAAGCCACGTGGTGATTCATGGAGAAGTCCTTTATTAAGCATACCTAGGAACAAAATGTCACAGTAGGTTAGCATCTGTTGTTTTATATATTTACCATGGAATAAAGAAGTGCACCAACTTGCAGGCTTTAAATTTTCTTAGTGGCTTATTTAGTGCACCCATTTTATTAAAATTCCTGCATCTTTCTCTCCCCTGCTTTGCCCTCTTCTCATCCCAAGGATGCTTTTGAAATACTGGCTGAAAATTATGAAATGAGAGAAAATGCGGGAGCTTGCCTTGCATTTAGGAGAGCGGCATCTGTGTTGAAGTTTCTTCCATTTGCTATAGTTAGATCAAGTGATATTGAAGGATTGCCTTGGATGGGAGAACAAGTCAAAGGCATAATTGAGGTGAGTTCCACAGAAATGGATGGCCATCTGTTGGGGGTGCTTTGAATGCGATTTTCCTGCTTCTTGGCAGGGAGTTGGACTGAATGGCCCATAAGGTCCCAACTGTATAATTCTATGATCAAAGAAAATGGATAGCCAAATTTACCAAGAGGATGCAAATATAAGTGGTCTCAAGGTAAACAATCATCAGTGTCTCATTCTCTGCTGTGCTAGAAATTTGGAAACTGAAGGAAAATGCCATGTAGGACAAGGCTCTAATTTTATGCTCTACCCCCCCCCCCCAATAACTAGACCCCTGGGTATCACTTATTTTTTTTCTAAGAGACAGCTATACCTTTCGAATGAGGGTACTACAAATAAATGAGAATTTTCTTTCAAATAGTTTTTTCAAAAACAATTACCAAAATGTAAAACATTGTTTTAAGAATGGGGGAAAAATATTTTTTTTAATGATGATAGGAGAAAACGACACTGATTTTCCCATTCCTAATCAAAGGAAAGCCAAGCAGATATGGTTTGATTACTCCATATAGTTTGGTCCTTCCTATTGAGAAGAATCTTATTTGTGTAAAGTCAAAGTTTTTAGGAGGCAATCATCTTGATATATCAATGTCCTCTTAATCATTTAGAATATACTATGAAATTATATCATGCCTTTTCCCTATCCTTTGTGTTTGATGGAGATGAAATGAAGGTTAAATATTGGTTGGAAAAGTTGGCCTAAAATGATTTGTGGTGGGCTTTCCCTCCCAAAAGTATGTTAATTATGTGAAAAGTTTTTTTTTAAAAAGGGAGAACAATGGAGTAACTTCCTTTCAAAAATATGGCTTAAAAAATCACCTCTAACAATCTGGCAAGTCGTTTTTGACTCATAAAACATAAGGTGTGTTGGATGCAACAGGTTTCTGCTTAGAAAGCAGTGTTCTTACATCCTTCATACCCCCTGTAGGCTTTGAAATCAGTATTCAAAGTGGACTTTCTGAATTCATGAAAACCCACAGGTCTGTAATACATCCCTAATGGAAGTCAAACAAGGATTCTATGATTCTAAGTGCTATTCACACACACATGTTGCATACATGTGCCAGACCAATCCATACTCTGATTTATTGAAACACAGCATGTTGGTATTAGGATGGAAAGGTATTTAGACATAATCGTCTAGGTACGTTGGCATCTCCAAAGTTTTGTTGTGAGCCAATATACAGCTTGATCCAAAATTCAGATAATTTGTGAGGCTTACAGTTTGTTTCCAAGGAATAAAGTGAACATAAAACAAAGCATATATTTCAAACTGACAAAATTTACATGATTAAGAAAAATATATTTATGTGAATAATTGAAAAAACAACAGCATTTCAATGGGGAAACATTGTTTTAGATAAATTGGTCAAATATATATGTAAATTAGGAAAATGCATAAAATCAATTTCATACATGAAATTAATAGCAACCCTTTATAAAACAAGGGTTGGGGGAAATTGCAGGGAGAATTTGGAAATGGGGAGATTTTCATATTGTTAATGATGTGGACATGTATATCAGCTAGAAAGTCATGGTTTGTTAACTGCCCTTGAAAACATAATCTGAACCAATGGTTTGTTGTGGTTTTTTTTTTTTAGTCTCTGGCTATTTGAAACCATGACTTGTTGTGATATCCAGACTTACAACTGTGGCTCGTTACTGCCTTGCTTCCTTAGTTTCTTACCATGAAATAGGAAGTGACAAAATTAAGCCAGAAATGGAGAAGCCATGGTTTATTGGACAATCTGCCATGCAATTTACAGCTTAAGCCATAAATCATGGTTAATATAAACTGTATCTTATCATGCTGAACATACAAATGATCTCATTAGTATTTCTAAGTGAAATTCTTACAAGGTGTTAGAATAAAATATCAAAGAAAAAGTTAAATGAATAATAAACTAATTTAAATAAATGTTAAGAATTCTGAAATATCAGTCATTTACAGAAGTATGAACTATGAGTAGAAAGTAAGGCATCAAAATGAAGTTTTAAAATAGAAATAACTGAAAATCAGAAAATCCCTGGATTATTACTTTATAAATATATCCTATGAAGCCTTTTTCTACAATAGAAAACTGTTTAAGTTGGGTAATTATATGATTCTAAATACAGGATATACTAGAAGAAGGGCAGAGTCCTAAAGTGGAAGCAGTCCTAAACAATGAGAAATACAGATCATTCAAGGTAAGTCTGCATAATTCCCTTTAGTTTTGAGCAACTAAAAGCTTTGGAAAATAAGTATTTCTATGAAGTTCTTGGTGTATGCACATCCCCAAATGTTTTTTGTGAGCGAATCATGCAGAAACATATTTTTGTCCATCCCTCTCCCTACTGTTTCCAGACAGTCAATTTTTAAAAACTGTTTTTTAAAGAAGATACTTTTTGGTCATTATTTAAAAAGTTAGTTGCTAGAAAGGAATCGGAAATGGCATAGGATTGCAATACAAAAGTTTAATATGTTGCTGCTGTTTGGTGGTTGCAAGCTCTTGTTGCCATGTTTCAAAAATATGTGTAGCCCTTGAACACTCTTATTTATGAGTTAAATCACCTCAAACTACTTGCTCCTTTTCAAGCTGTATGGCCTTGCTCTATTTCAATCGTCAGTGAGATCCTTGACTGTCTGAATGTATACTGAAAAACTCATTGGGTGTCCAATAAAATGATAAGTAATGGATGACAAGTGACTTCTGCTTTTCACTTTTCAAGTAGTAATTGAAAATATTGTGAAGATGTAATTGATCATATGTGCCATTCATTGGAGCATCTGAGTAATATGAATGTGTTTAGGCATGAGGATGGCTACCTTTCACAGCACAACCACATTTAATGAAGAGTTCTTGAGCAGGTTGTAAAGAGTGCAAGAAGGCAAGAGTAGGGGAAAGAACATGGCAGAGGGTAACAGCCTGTGTAGATGGGGTTACACTTCCCCTGAAGATGGAGGTTTGCAGCTTGGATGTGATCCTGGACTCATTGCTGAGCCTGGAACCCCAGGCTTCGGCGGTGACTAGGGGAGCATTTGCACAATTAAAACTTGTGTGCCAGCTGCGCCCGTACCTTGGGAAGTCTGACTTGGCCACGGTAGTCCACGCTCTGCTTACATCCCGTATAGACTACTGCAACACACTTAATGTGGGGCTGCCTTTGAAGACTGTTCGGAAGCTTCAAATGGCCCAACGGGTGGCAGCCAGGAGTGGCACTCAGGGAACGTACAACCCCTCTGCTGCACCAACTCCACTGGCTGCCAGTTTCCTACTGGGCACAATTAAAAGTGTTGACTTTAGCCTTTAAGGCCCTAAACAGTTCCTGCCCAGCTTACCTGTCCGGATGCATCTCTCCCTATGAACCATGTAGTTCTCTAAAATCGTCTGGGGAGGCCCTGCTCTCGGTCCTGCCTCCTTCGCAGATGCAACTGGCGGGAATGAGAGACAGGGCCTTCTCAGCGGTGGTCCCTTGGCTATGGAATGCCCTCCCTAGGGATATCAGATTACCCCCTCCCTCCTAACATTTCCAAAAAGACCTGGCTCTTTGAGTAAACATTTGCAGATGCAGTGTAACAGGCTAATTTAGATCCACGGAATGATTGGACAATGTGACTGGAAAATGATTTTATTAATGAGACGTTGGGGACTTGTGTTTTATTGTTTTTATTGTCTCTATTGTTTTTATATTGTTTGTATTATCAGTCAATGTTTTAATTCTATTTTATGTTGTTGGGGGCATTGAATTTTGCCGATTGTAAACTGCCCTGAGTCACCTCCGGGCTGAGAAATATGGTAAATAGATAGATAGATAGATAGATAGATAGATAGATAGATAGATAGATAAACATGTGAGTACAGTTAACTCTGTTTCTTAGTGTTTCTGGGGAGATTTAGGAAAGACACCTGCCAAACTGGACATTTGCAGTGGGGCATATGATAAGATTTCAGGGACCACATACAGCTCATGGTCCATGGCTAACCTACTTTTTGCTTACATGTGACCCCCTTTTGGTGACATATGCCTGTTTCCACATTACATGTCACTGGAGTTGTGAAAAATAGAAGCACAAGTCAGTTAGATTCCACTCAAATTGGAATTGATAGGAGAGGAATGTACTGAAACTGAAGTGTGAACAAATATAGGACCTTATCACAGTTAAAAATTTTCCCGTTATAGAACACTTCGCGGATGCAACCTGCCGGATCTCATCACGTGATGCGCAGCTACTTTTGGCAGGGCTTCATGATGGCTACACTGGTGAAGTGTTCTATGACAGGGAATTCTGAACATAGGGGACTACCCATGTTCAGATTAAAATCATGAGAGTGCAGGAGCATGCCAGAAAGGTATTCTTCCTAGGGTGTGAAGGGCAAATGGTTGATACAGGCGGTGCGGGGTGCTGGAGGATGGATTCATCCTACTACCCCAAAATTTGCCCTGCTGCCCTACGGATCCCCCCGCTGTCCCCCACACCAATAGCCTCCATGTATTGACGTTCATAGGACTTGTCTACACTGTAGAAAAAAATTGCACTAACCTCGGAGGTGATGTGATCCTGACACACAGCATTCTTGACAGTTCTCTTGCAGTGTGGTTCGTTGGGCTTTAATCCAGGTCAGAAAACCTTGCCTTTTACCCTGCAGTTTACTTGCCATAGATGCAGGAGAAACGTCAGGAGAGAATGCCTCTAGAACATGGTCATATAGCTCGAAAAAACCTACAACAACCCAGTGATTCCGGCCATGAAAGCCTTCAACAATATATTTAATTTTGTTTCTTTTACTATCATATATACTCCATACTTTAACACACACACAAACACTTTTAATCTTTGTTTAGGACCTAATAAAACTTCTTTAAATCCTCCAAATTCCATTAACTGCCAAATAAACTGTTAAGCAAACAAAGTACTAAAATTAATAGATAAAGATCTAAATAATTTTTGAACAGTGAGATTACCAAATATAATCACTCTTGCTCCTAAACAGCAATTCTTCCACAAAGGGAAGGTAATTTTACTTGTCATATCTAAAACGTTGAGTAATATGTATTTTAATTGTCCAGGATTTTGATCCTTTTCTTTTCTTTATCGTAATTGCTTTAAAATAAAGCAATAATCTCATTAGAACGACGATAAAATTAGAATGGCCCACATTCCAAGGCTAAAAATAAAGAGAGCTTTATAAAGGAACTCTGCAGCCTATTTTCACACCCTGTGCTCGGTAGGAAAATGTTTCACAAGACAAACTAGTGACAAAAAGTGCATAAATAGCAAAAAGATTCTTCTGGGATATTAATTTGATCTGATAAGGCTTGCTTTATAATGATTTTGGACACATGAATTCCTCTTAGGTTAGAAAGCTTTGAGAATGTTAATGCAGTATAAAGGTGTTGGACTGGGACTTGCAAGATGTCAGTTTTTGATGTCACTGAACTGTGAAACTAACTGGGTGATCATATACCAATGATCTTTCTCAGCCTATGAAACTCATTGATGTTGGTGTGCCAGGGACTGTTTCAGTTCTTTTTAGAGAGCCGTGTGTGCTACCTTTAGCAATTGGCCTCCAATTAAGGCCAAAAATTGAAGGTTAAATGGTAGATTTCATCAAATAATACTATACTATATGTACATATTTGGGGGGCATTTTCCCTTCTCTTCCATGCTGTTCCTGCTCATATCCATTATTTCATTACAATGGACTATATGCAAAGTAACATAAAGGATACATCAAAATAACTAAAACCAGTTTGAAATAGTGAAAGAAAGGTCTGGCAGCTTTAATTTAATCATGTCTGAATGAGTGATTCTGGTCCCATAGAAGAAAATGTAGTATGAATTTAAATATTTTTCTGAAAATGGGTAAAAATATTTCATAAATTCCATTATTAATGATACTTTATTTATATCCTTCCCGAGGGGACATTAAAGCAAGGATGGGAAACATGTGACCTTTCAGATGTACAACCTACCACATGTCTCACCATTGACTTTACTGTACAGGGCTTTGGGGAGCAGTGGTCTAACCACCTTTCGCCTGGGGGACTTCCCCCATGCCGTTTGCCAATATGCGTGGCAAAACGGCAGACACAAAAGGTGACTCTGTCGCCCCACGTACCGCTTCACCACAGCAACACTTCAGCCATCACACAGGGCAAGCATTGCCAGAATACGGCAGGGAGGGTTCCTGTGTTTTGGGGGGAAGCATCCAAGGATGCTTCCACCCCAGTTGGGGGCGGGGCCTCCGCCAGAAGTCACAGGACATTGTGTGATGGTCAGCATGGGTCTCTGTCACTGAAGAAGGCTGGAAGCATCCTAGGATGCTGAATTTGGTAAAAGTGATGAGATCATTAATCAGGGCTTCTTAAACTTGTTCAACTCACAACCTCTTTCCACTCAAGAATTTTTTACACAACCCCAGGTATATAAGTATATAAAAAAGGATTAAAATTATAAAAATTACTGATAATAAACCAGCATTTGCAAGGTGTGCTCAACAGGCTGATTTCCTTTTTGTGGAGGACATCTGAAGCATTTTCTGCAGAGTCCAGTTGTTAACAGATTTGTATAAATGGGTGGCATTCAGAAATCTTCTACTTTCCCTCAATTTTTGTAAACCCAACATTGAGCTAAAGGAACCCCATTTGGGGTCAGTTTAAGGACCTCATCACACTTACCCATTTAACCATCCTAGGATGTTTGCTAGCCAGTCAAGGAATGGATGGGCATGCAGTCCATCACACAATGTCCCTCAACTTCTGGCAGAATCCTTGTCCCCAACTGGCAAGGAAGTGTCCTAGGTTGCTTCCTTGTCAACACGGGAAGGCTCCATTGAAGCCAGCACACTTCTGCCCAAGTTGGGCGATGCTTGTTGGCAAAATGGCACTAGGGAGGGAGGGGGACATGTGATAAGGTCCTAAGAAGCAATGGTCTAAACAATATATGAAGGGCTATATGTTGCTCATTGCCACAGGAAAGACTGTATTCAGTTTCATTTTGTAGCATCATGGAATTGGAGAACAGGGACTTCAAGGATCATTTCTTCTCATTCCTGTGTCACTTCATAAATACTGCCTGAAAACCTGCTATGCTGAGACACAATATACTGTTCATCCTTCATGCAGCGGCTAACATTTTCAATGAAGTCATCATTGGGGTTTGCTTTTGTGCTAAATGCACAGCAGGAAACATGAGATAGTCAAAATATCTGTTTTTAATCAAATTATATTCCCTCCAATTTATTGCAGCTCTTTACTTCTGTATTTGGAGTGGCACTAAAAACATCAGAAAAGTGGTTCATGATGGGATTGCGGAATCTGGAAGATGTAAAGCTCAACCAGAATTTGCAACTGACAAGAATGCAAAAAGCAGGTAAAAATTCAATTTGACGTTGAATTTATTATAAGTGAAGACAACATTAATTAGAATGGTTATGTTGACTGATGAGCATGCAACCATGGTTTACTCAATCAGTGTAAGTTTTATTTTATTTGGGACATTCATAGAATATATAATAAAGTTGAATATTTTTGATCTGAAAATATCACAGTTTCAATTCTCCTAATAGTGTAAAAGCTATCTTAGGGAATGCACACTTGAAAAGAAATTCCTCCCAGTCTGTGTTTGAGTGAAATAATAAAAACATTTTAGATGTGGAAGATTTTCTTGTTAAAAGCAAGCAAACAAAAATGTAATATCAATATTGCCCCAAGTCACATTTTTGTAATACAGATGTTTATATTAGGATTATCCTGTTCTATTTGCTAGTTCAATGTTCAAAGAGAATTCGCCCTATATTTTTATTTATCTTGATTTCTTTTCTCCCCCCAATTGTTGCCCCCCCCAAACAATACACAAACCATTCAATCAGCCCATCAACCAGCTAAAGAAAAACTGGTTGCCCTATTGAATGTTACAATACAGTGGGATCTTGGTATCTGCTGGGGTTTGGTTCCAGGACTAACTCATGCATACCAAAATCTGTGGATGCTCAAGCCCCATGATCTACAATGGAATAGTAAAATAGTATCCATTTTATAAAGTGGCAAAATTAACATTTGTCTTCTGAAAAATTTTTAAAAATATTTTTAATCCATAGATAGTTGAATCCATGGGTATAAAATATATGGATACAGAGGGCTGACTGTATTTGTAAAATTCCACAGGCGAACCCTATAGGACAAAAAAAGAAATTAAATGACTTAACTTCTTTAAGTAAGATACAACTGTATATATACATTTTCAGTTTCTTGCTTAGCTTCTGTTATGTGACTCAATTCTGACTCTATCCTAGTGTTCCCTGGCAAGATTTATTCAGAGAGGGTTTGCCTCTTTCAGTATGAATTGTTCAAGGTCATCCGCTGGATTTCCATGGCTGAATGATAGTCAAGCCCTGGTCTCCTGGGGTCAGTCCAGCACTCAAACCTCTACACCATGCTGGCTCAAATAAATACCAACTCTTAAAATAAAATGTTCCATTAAAATTAAAAATCATTTCTGGCCCAGCTTCCAAATCTCTCCCCCTGGATTTCATGTTTAAATGGCTGGCTTACACTTGAAAATGACATTAATTCTTCACAGGGATAAAGCAACCTGTGCTTGTGGGGTTGTGTATGACAAGCAACCTAATTTCAAAAGTTCTCAGGAGGTGATCAGCTGAGATTTCTAAAAAAATCAACAACAATCCAGACAATTTGCTAAATACAAAGGAAGGAAACAGAGAAAAGAACAGTGGAAAACTAAAGAGAAATTTATTCGGTCTATTGCAAATGTTGGCTTTCAACAAATAACCCATGAAGTAATTCAGCTCTCAACAGCCACATCAAAAAAGATTTCCCTTCCCTGATTTAACATATCCAAAGATGAAAATCTCACTAATGTGTATGCCAATCCTTCTGACAAGGATTATCCTTGGAGAAAATGGGAGGTTCTTCATGTCAACGTGGGAGTTGACCAGCTTCAGTTATACTGCTGTGACGCAATTTAATAAACTGGATGTATTCGTTTTAATATATTTCTAGGACACCTTGTTATGAGGCTAACCTTTTGAGATAGCTAATTCTTAGCTAGCTGGCACATGAAGGCTGAGAGTAATTTAACGAAGATCCAATTAGTCTAGGTTTCAGCTAGACCTTGAACTTCAGTCTTCTATGTTTTTACACTTAGTATACGGTCCATTGGACTACCTCATTATGCTAAACGAATAATATAAAAAACATTTTTTCAGGGTTACAACATTATGAAGATCTTATTAGCTGTGTATCAAAGGCAGAAGCAGATTCGACAAGCCTAATGGTTAAAGACACCGTATGGAAATTTTCTCCCAATGCTTTAGTTACTTTAACTGGTGGTTTCCGAAGGTGAGTACATCAAACCATAGTCCTCTGGACACTTTTTCATTTGTCTCAGTTTGTTTATAAAGCATGCTACCCTTAAAGGCTTTGGCATTTTCTTGTGGAGTAACTTTAACAATATTTTAAAACTCTTGGTGAGAGAGTTGGTCACAACTGAAAAAGTAATTAGCAAACAAGAACATATGGCATTTGGGACTTGTAACAGTTATTATATTTCTGTTTTTGCACGGCACATCTGTCAACCGGCTTTGCACTTTCTTCTGTTTGGGGGCTGGGCTTGATCCTTTCATAAGTAAAGAATATTTGTTGCTTTGTCCATTCAAAGAGACATGTTTCCTTGCGATGACATAGTAAACATATACTACAAAGAAAGAGAGAAAATACAGAAGTAAAACTGCTTGTTACACCTAGCCAAAGTGACTTTTTACATCCAAATATACTGGGTTGAACCGAAAGATAGGATGTGAGGTAGCCCACTTGAGCAAGGATTTTCTTCTTATCTCTCATGTACCACCTAATCTCTCCCCCCCCCCCCGCACACATTTTTTTCTAGAGAATTGGGGTATATTGAGGACTTCAAAGGCATTTGTAATATGGTGGTGGAGGTTGGCGGAGGGAGGGGAGAGTCTTTGAAGATTAGGAACCTTTTTTGTGCATCTCCATGATGTAGTGGTAAATGCTGGGGCTTGGCAGGATAACTCCACAACTGCCCTTAAATTAGAAGAACCTGAAAACACAAGCAGCAGCATTATGGAAACACACCAATTATATCACTTTTCATTTCTACAATAATAATAATAAAAATAATAAAACTTTATTTATATCCTGCCCTATCTTCCTGTGGGTACTCAAGGCGGTTACCAACAAAGACAAACATTCAATGCCCGTAACAAAGACAATAACTGTAAAATTTAAACAAAAATCACTAATAAATTAAGTTACAAGAGCAGGTTTTTTGTAAGGCTAATATTTTGAATTGCAACAGGGAAAAATCAGAGAAAGATAGTTTTTGCTGGATCAATGGATGAAGCCACTGTGATTAAATTTAGGACATGGTAGGAATAGAGCAGAAATTTGCAATATAACTAATATTGTATTTGGACTTCCTAGCCCCTTGTGTGGAAAAAAACCCAACATTTTGCAGGGATTTTTGTTAGTTCCTTTCACACTTCCCCAGCATTGTGCATGAGGTTGAGAAATTGTGAAGTCTTGCAGTAAAAATCGACACATTTGGTCATTTAACTATGGATGGAAAACTGCCCAGCTCTCTGAGAAAACAACCCACCTTATGCTTATGGTGTTTTGCACTGTATTTTTTTAAAAAATGTGCAAAATGCAAACCTAATTTGTATGTTACATCCTTATACCAACAATAAGAGCATTTGTGTCAAGTTGTGGTGGGAAAAGTAATAGAAAACCAGAGAGAAAGCAAGTGATAGCATTCAAATGACTTTTGAAAGCTTCCTTTTGCATAGGCTTTGAATTGGGACTTGAAATAGTTCAGGGAAAAAGAGGACAAGCAGCAAAAGAAAATTTGATTTGTTGATTTGAATGTGATGCAGTCCATGTGTTATTGGTCAGGAAAAGAAAGTCAGGAGAACTGTGTGGTTTCCAAAAAACTTCATAGTTTATTGACAAGCTGTGCATATTTCATAGGGAAACTGTGTAGTTTCCCATCACAGCTGGGGAAAAAATTCCAAATGCCCTGAGAGGATTGGGACATTTCCCCCTATTTATTGTTGAGAAGTGGGAATTTTGAGTTTTACCACCACTAGAACCTGGATGCGGACGGGGTGACAGATGTTATGAATACAGCTGCACATTCCGGCTGTACAAACATGGACGAATGCCTTACTGAGCTGCTTGTGAGGATCAAAGCAGGCAGGTTTTGTGCTCACAGCTTCTTGCAAAGAGGCCTATGTTTGAGTTCACTATGTTTGGTGCCTATGTAGGAGCAGAGGAAAGTGGCATGTATTAGTAGGCATTCCACAAACTGTGGGGCAGTGTCTCATTTTGGCAGAGATTGGTTGAAAAAAGAGCTAAAATTGGACCAACTGGTGGAAAACAGTTGGTCCAACTTTGGAAAGCACTTTAGCAGGATAGAAGGCGTATGTGAAATTTATGTATTAATTTACTTTATTTATACCCTTCCTCCCCAAGGGGATTCAATAATAAGAGAATAATAAGGAAATTACAATAATAGGATTATTAGGGATATTGAAACTGGAATTTTCATGAGAGCCCATGAACTTTGGTTGGGGAAGGAAACGGGGGAATTAGAGGAGGAAAGGTTCATTGTGTATGCCCTTCGGTATACACAATGAACCTTTCTAATGTTCAGAAATGTTCAATAGGAACTGGGAAAATTTTACTTCTTGGGACTACAATTCATAGAATCTAAAGCCAGTTTGGCTTTTGAGCATATTGATAAGAGGTTTTTGGGATGTAGAGCTCCCAAAGGGTAAGGTTTCCAAGCTTTGGTCTTGACCCCTCTGGGACAAACAGTAAGATACTTGTAGTCTCTAACCACGTAAAGAGACAGGAGGAGGTAATGGTAACATTTACCCCTGTTTCAGACAATACAGGTTGAAGGCAGATGATTTTCACAGTAGTTCTCACAGCTGTAGTGCCCTGACCCATACAGGGCCTATCTATGCAGATTTAAAAAAGGTGTATTTACCTCATAGGTGCTCTGCTCCTGATGCACAACATCCATGGAGATTGGTTTGCAATGCAATTCTTTCACTTTAGTCAGTTTAATGAAACCTTGTTTTTTACTCTGTTTTTTTTTAAAAAATCTGGCCTTTTAGCTGTGTGGACAGCCCTCCATGAAGCATGACTTTGCTTTGTCATTGGGGGAAGGAGTTAGTGGTCAGCGGAAGTGATTGGTGGATGGTGACCTGGGCCAGACCAGAGCATTATCTTTCCCAGGTTGACTTAATTTCTTTTTTTAAAAGGATATTTGTGTGCAGATATTTTCCATATCAATATTAGTGATTATCCACTAAAGAAAACATCTTTTTGGGGGGGATGGGGGTGGGAATTCGAGTGGCCATGGCTGAAAATAATCAAATATTGGAAATGAGGATCACTCTCTAACAGTGAGGTGAGTGTACTTGGGGGAGGGGGGAGAGGATGTGTGCCCACTTATGTCGATTTCACTGCAATGTGGGTGATGTGTGTGGCATTAATAAGGGTCACTGTAGGGTCAATGTGAACTGGAAAAATGTGGTGCCAAACAGATGTTTTTCATCTGTGTAGACAAGCCCACAGAGACGTTATTGCTTTACTGCTGTATTTTCCCTAGAAACAAATGAGGTTCCTAGGATTGCTTCTTTTAAGTTGAAATGTTTCCAAATAGCTTCCTTGATAGTACATGAATATAGATGGTGTTTATTGGCCTGATCATCTCAAAAGCATGAAGCCTGAGGACAATTGATCAAAATTTTGAGTCATTTCATTTTCATCATTACCATAATGCAGATGCGTGCATACACCCTTGATGCTAGTTATATTAGAGAAAGTGATTCGTTTTCTGTAAGTCGGCTTGCTATCGTATCAGAGGAAGTTGCAATTGCTGTTTGTTTCTCTGTTGTGCGTGTTTTGAAGTGCATTGATATAAAGAGAAATGTACATTACTCATCCAGCTTTGTTCCCCAAGGTTCTTACACATGCCATGTCAACAAAATATGACGGCAGAAGCTAAGATAGTTCTCAGCAATCTGTTCAGCTTGTGTGCTGCATTTGTGCATAATCTTGAGATGCATCTTTCTCTTTGATTTGCAAAAACTGAAATGCAAAAAAGTATTTGTCAGAGGAAATTCATAATTGGAAGTCGTTTTGCATTGTCACGGACCTGTAATTTGTGTAGACCTATATACAACAGCTCCTAAATGATCTTGGAAATTAAGAAGAGTCAGCTCTGTACAGTATGACTGTCATTTCTATGGGACCAGTATTTGTGAATTTCTTTATCTACATCAAAAAAATATTCTCTCTAAGCATTTTCTAGATTTTCCAGCATGATCTGGGGCAGAAGTCCCTTATTTTAATAGAATTCACTGTTATCTGTGGTTTTACATATTCAGGCCAAGTACAGGAATGTATCCTGTTTGAGTATGGTGGTCATACTGTACTTATAGGGGAGACAGCCAATGACAGCCAGGTGAAGTAGGCTATATTTTGGAGGAAGGAACTGGCAAAACCATCTCTGACTATTATTTGCCTAAGAAAACCCATTGAAATCCATGAGATCACCATAAATCAACAGGTGACTTGAAAGCACACAGAGGAACAATTTGTGTGCTAGGGCAAGGCATTGGATTAGAACTTCAATAAGGATTTAAGGCTTGCATCTTCCAAGAAGGGCCATGGGAACTGACCCTGTTTATAAAGTCAATGGAATTGAAGATAAAGTCAGTGGTACTGGGAATAACCCTTGTTCTCATCTAAAATTCTCAGATTGCTACTTTCCTGATTCTCGGTTGTTAAAAATATTTAAAAGTATAGGCAGATATATTGTAAGGCATCAGGTGCTATGGGAAGACTTAATTAATGTTTTGATCGAATGACACTTCTTAGAGGGAAGGCAGGAATCAGAAACACATTTAGAGCATAGCAACATGTACTGATGATACTGAGCAGGAACAGTGGTCAGTCTCTAGTCCATTATTATTGACACTGACTAGCAGAAACACTCCAGGGTTTCAGGCAGAATATTTTTTCAGTTCTATCTGGAAATGCTATGGATTGAACCCTGGGATGCTTTGTATGCAAAACAGGTATTTGGTTGCAGAACCTTAGACTATTTTTTTATACACGCCATTTTGCAGGCCACATTGTTGTGCTCAGAAACAATAGCACTTTTCACTGGAAACCACTTTTCATCAAACCAATGATTTACACTTTCTTCTATGACATTCAAATCAAGCTGATTTTCATTGACCAACAGTAAAAATGCAAGTTACATGACTAAGCATCATTTTAGCAGCAGGCTGGGTCTTCTG